ATTCCGTTGCCAACGATTGCGATCCGACTTGATTTACATCAACACTTTGGGTCAAAAGTTTAGGACGACATTAAATAAATTTAACGAATCATTATGTCATTTTTTTTTGTCTGAATTTGAATGGTTAGACTTGTCCTGAGGTTTTACTAAGGAAAGAAAATGAAAATTGGAAGTGACAACATGATGACCAATTTTTGTGGGGGCGTGGGGTCGGAGGCAAAGAAAATGGCAAGCCGAAAGCGGAAATTGTTCCACCAGAATTTTTCATAATCAAAATAGAAAAAAGAATTGCCATTTTCCAAGATAACATTTTTACGGTCTGTGTTGTTTTTCCTTTTCTTTTCCTCCATTTTTTGGTGTACCGATTGTGACACATAAAATTTTCATCGAAATAGAATTTTTTTCAATTTTTTTTATAAAACTCGGAGATTGAATTACGAGAAAAACACATCCATATGCATTATCTTGCATTCTCCTTTTCTCAATTATTACTTAGCTTTCGCATCTAAAATTTAGGATACCATGCTCGCACTGAATATCGAAAAGGAAGAATTGTGTATTTTCGTGAACCAACCCCCTTAGTCTCCCTCGAACCTCGGCCCCGAGCTCGCCTACTCTCGCTCTCTCTCTCTCTCTCTACCTCCTGTCGGAGATGGAAAGCAAACATGCCATGCATGGACCATTTACAGGTTTCAAGGTCGATTTCAGGATCTATTCAGGTTCCACTTGTATTATTAATTGAATGATTACAGTGAATTATCGCTTTTAATGATCACCACTTGCTTCTACAATCCACTAACCACAACTTATATTTAGACATACGAAAAATATAAAAAATTAACAAAGTAAAAGTCTCAATCATAAAATAGAAGCTCAGATTAGTGGTTCCAGATTATATACTCATCTTCGGATGCCATGAAATACCACAGGATTTCGTGAAAATATAGACCAAGAAAAACACAAAAACCCGTTACAGGTTCCAGGTTCCACCTACTTGGAACCTACTTGTTGAAATAAGTTCCCCAATTTTTGGAACTTGGAACATATCCTGCATACCTTGGAACTTGGAACCGAACAGGTTCCCGTGGGTTCGGTTCTCAGGTTCACGGGTCCGGTTCCAAGTCTCAAGCTCTACCCATACATGCTCACGGAGCGCCGCTCAGGTCACTGACCATCCCTTTCGCTCGAAATTTGGAATATAATAACATGGTTAACACATCAATACTAATTGCGTGAAAAGGAGAGTTAAACAAAAATATCGAGAAGTACAACTTTTAGGGTAAAAAAAAAAGGACAAACAAGTCGGACGGCTCATTCTCTGAGGTGTTCGGCCGCCACAACATCATACGATAGTTACGGAACAATCACAAAATAACGGTCTACTAAGTTATATGTGGCGATACTTCCTACTATTTTTTCCTCGGAAAATACTTGATAAAATGGAGATAAAGCTAAATTATACATTTGGAACTACTAATGTACTGAAACAGAATAGAGCAATAGGCTCAATCAACCTCCATATCTCACGCCTAGAAACCGGCTTTGTTAATCAATTCGTGACAACAAATTTTTTTTTTTTTTGGTTGAAGAATTCGTGAAAACATTGACTTTACTAGCTTTTTGCTTTTGCTTGGGGGCAAACATTGTAGCCCAAAAATTAATAATTATGGGTTTCCCAAGAGTGGGCCAAATATCAATAATAGTAACCACAACAAGCAACAAATAAATAATGAATTAAGATGAATTTAATTATTCCATTTAATAATGTTGTCTGAATAATAGGTATATGCGGATATGTTTGTGAAGCTGGTGCGACGATCTTGGCTTTTATCATACGATTCAAGCCGCCAAAATGTGAGATTTTAGCTGTCTATTACAACGTAGCCGAGCCTACTACTACTACTATTACAGCTTTGACCCAAAAAAAAATGAAAATAGTATTACACAAACATAAATCAAACCTTATAAGTTTGAATCCGAAAGTATCATGACGACACTCGAGAGAGATCCAAGTATCGTTCACAAGTCGAATTCAATGGGTGGAGTACACAATCACTGATTCTATAGGATTTGAAAAAATTACCAAAACAATCATAAACTTATTGTACGGATATCAATTCAGTCATAAACCTTTCGATTTGACTAATTTAATATTAAAACTTTTGATAATTTATCAATGTAATCATTCCATCTAATTTTGGCTAGAAATCGCTAGCATGGACGTCAGTCGTCCTATGTGACACGGTCGATGCAAATGTGGATAATTTTTACAAAATTTTAAATGTTTTTCTAATTTTTTTAATATATTTTTCTTTTTTTTTGTTGTGGCCAACGATGGTTGCAAGCTCTTTGTCGGCCCCAATGAAAAAAATAAAGAAAAACTAAAAAACAACAATTTTTTGTAAAAAATTGCAAAAATTGTCACGTCAACGCCTTAAATTTGTGCCACATACACACGGCGGTTGGTGTTCCCGTCAATGATTTCCTACCAAACATTGGTCGGAATGACCATATTGGTGAATCGACAAAATGTTTAAGATTGAATTAATCAAATTAAAAAGTTTAAGACTATATTAACCAAATCAAAAGGTTTAAGATTGAATAAACATCCGTATAATAGGTCTAAGACTTTTTCGGTAATTACCTCCCGTTAGATCCGTCAGAGCCAATCCAATTAAATTTCGAGGGTAGGTGGAAAAAAAAGAAATTATTACCATGGTCGTTCCTAAAATTAAGGAGCGAGCAAAGGAAAAGGAAAAAGAAAAAAAAGCCGCGAATGGATTAGAATCATGTGGAATCTCCAACTTACATAATTGCATCCATAAAGAAACCACCCCCAAATTGATCCTAACATTGATCGCACCTTCGAAAAACTCTCGATGATAACGAATAAAGAAGAACAAAGGAAAAAGGTGTGCTTTGCGTGGAAAATGATCAAACCCTAGACATCCTTTCATCAACGTCCTAACCTCGTGGTGTCGGCTTTGCTTTCCATGCAATTAAAGATTGTCCATTTCAAGTTCTTGACATACATACATACATATATATATATATATATATTATTTCACTTTATTCTTAGTGTGTGTATATGTGATGAGATGATCTTGCGTACAAGGAAAAGCCAGGAATATAAATAATGTGGTTAGATATGACTTTTATTGAATTATGTCTGCACCACGTTCATAACTTGCATGAGCTATAATCAATAAGTTTGGTTCCCTTTCCTCCTCCACAAGAAACCCTAACTACAAAAAGTTGGGTTAACTAAAACAAAGAAAAATTAAAAAAGAGAGAGCTTAGGGTAAAGGGTTTGCTAACCCTCGATTTAAATCGTTGAAGTTACATCCCAATATTTAAGTGCTAGAAAACTTTTTTAAAACGAAAAAAAAATTGGAGTTAAAAAATTCTTAAGTTCATTGTATTTTTGAGTGCCATACCACACTTGAGCTTACAACTTGACTATGTGTTGATATATAAAGGGGTAAAAGATTATTCTGGTTTGTTTCGTATCTCCTATAGTAGCGATGGTCACGACTAATGAACATTGGATTACACGATCGTTTGCGGATTAAGGGTATCATAATGCGAATTTGGAATCTTAGGTCCCGAGCTCTACGGGGTTTAGTCACGCTCCTTGTAATTGATATTTTTTGTGGGCATCCTATAAAATTGCACCTAATTGACATGCTAGCTAGAGCAGGTCGGAACGATTTGAAATTTCAAAAAGACATTCATGTACGTTTTTCCAAGGACAATGGGTAGCTGAATGTCATCTGCCCAAATTAATTTAAATAATTTCTCATGAACTTTGGTGAAGTTGGACCGTGACAGCAACATTAGGGTCGGCCTTGTATAAAGTAGGATTTCCTATTTCATCTTTGGGGTAATCAGGGGATTCAAAATTATTTGGCCCAGATAGAAAAAGATGAAATAGCTAGGGACACTATTACCCCTTTGAATACGAGTTCTAGAACCACTAAAAAGAGGTCATCTTTGGCGAAGGATTTTCAAATATCAAAAAAGAGATCCTTTTCTATGGCATTTGGGTCTGGGTCGAACTCGACGTGGAATGTTTCTAAATGCCAAACTAATAAAATCATTAAATGCCAAACTAATAAAATCATCGGACGAGCAGGACTCGCCGTGTATCAATTAATGCGATATGTGAAAACCAACGATAGTGTCGCTTGAAATGATGATCTCTTGGCCTTATATTTTCGTTTTTTTGCTTTGGACATAAGTTTTTCCAAATGACCGAATAAGAATTTCATAAAAAAGAAAAGGTTCATCACATATAATGTCAAAGTGATATGTAACAAACGACACTTCCCCTGCGTTTTGTATGTAGGGCTAGGAATGGAGTAGAAACTAAGAAAAAAATTCATTAGGCTCAGGACTCCTTGCAGCATATTACCATCCCTAACGTTTTCGCCTTCATGGTCCTAGAACTCGGCCGACATTACCACGACGGCGGAATAGTCGGCGCGTGAAGAAAAATTCAAAAGCCGCTGCCCAACTATGAATGTCACCATTCCTCTTCAATCATTATGGGAGCATGAAGCAACAACATATTCCTGTTTCGAGGAAAATAAGAGAGATTCGTAAGACTCGGGACTTGCCCCATGCATGCTGAGCCCAGGCCCAGGACCTGGTTTGTGCAGAACGTAAGGATAAACCTGTGGATGAAAAACAAACTTCGTGACATTCGGAAGAGAAGAAAGAACCCTCAGCTTACACCCAAAAAAGAAAAATCGTCGAAATAATCCACGGACAAGCGAGGATAAGAGTTATATCGTGTGACAATGACAAGCACAGAAAACGGTCGAATTGGAGAAAGTTCCGAAATTCGAACGTGGAAGTCAGTCGATATGCATACCGCACAGGCAATGTGAGTAGAATACTTTCTTGTTAGGCAGAGAGATAATGATTCCCAGATTCCCAAGAGTATTTACAAGATCACAACATGTGAAATGCTAATGACCCAGAACCATCCCTTGAAGTTCTTGAACTGATAGTCATTACTTAGTGTGGCTATTCATTATCACTTCGCAGAAGAGTCCAACATAATTACAGGATCTCATCAGCTAGCTGAACACACCACATTTACCCTTCACATAGCATATAAACATTAGAAACTACACGGACCGGTGGCCGAGATGCAAAAGCAAAAAAGATTTCACTCAGATTTCGACCGCCCGACCGTGATCTATTAGAAGCATAGACAGAATCCCATTGAATCCCTAGCCTTATGACACTAGTACTAGTACTGCAATTTCACATCCTTCATGCATCTTCCATCTTCTTCCACGCGACAAGAGATTTCAGAAATTCCATCACCTACATGCAATTCCAACACATCCGTCATATATCAGTATATGCTTCTGAAAAGGCGAGCAAAAGTTTTGAGGCGAAAAGTATGAAAAGATGAACAAGGATTCGCACCTCCGATGGGTCCCTTAGAGAGTAAATTGCCTTTGTTTCTTTGGGGACTGAAGATACCAAAATCCCAATGCCACATTTCTTTTCGCCCAGCATCTGATATAAATCATTGAAATGGCCAACTCATTTACGTGCTTGCTTCAAGGTAGAAAAAGAAGAAAAAAATTGAAATTGCATGTGCGTAGTACCTTAAATGCATCTTCATCAGTTCTGTCATCACCAATATAGATTGGGAGCACATCGGCTTGATTAGTGAAACCTGTGTCGACATGAAAGCAAGTTAATTTGTTGTAGCACAGTGCATGTCCGCTTATGTGCCAGAAAAGAGAGAGTTAACGGTGGAAAGAAAAGATACCGAGAGAATCGAGCAGAAACTCCACCGCTTTGCCCTTATTCCAGTCCACCACAGGACGGATTTCTAAAACCTGGATAACCAAAAAGAAGTATGTGCAACAATCACCGAGACCCACTTAACAATAGAAAGTCACGATGCATAGATGAACATGCTGGAATCCAGACAAGAGTTGTACCTTCCGTCCGTGAGTTATTTGCAAACGCGGGTAGGCTTTTAGTAGATTGTGGACTAATTGAGCAATAGTGCGCCAATTCTGAAATCAGAGAACAAGCAATTAAAACGAGGCTTGGAAGTTAAGCTGATTGAACATCACTGCAGCCCTTGGTAAGCCACAAACTGCAACCAGTCCTGACCTTTTCATCTACATTTCGATAATGTACTGAGGCACAGAACTTGTTGTTCTCGACTATTGTGCCTTTAATTCCCTTCATCTTCTCGACGAGAGTTCTAAAAACCTGCATGCCAGGGTCAAGAATCAATCTTCTAATTGCCACTTATCATATATAGATACAATAAAATAAAAAAGAAAATGAAGGCAGAGCAGTCGCACACCTCGTCAATCATTGGTAAAAATTCTCCAGCAGGCTGGAACTGTTCTAATTTTTCACCCTATAATAATAAGAACAGACATCACTAAAAAGTTAAACCATCAACATGAAATTTATTCCCCCCGGAGAATCAATACAAACATTCTCGAGTAGATCTTTGAATACCTGTCTGTCAGTTAATTTGACACAGCCATGATGGTCAATGGACGCGGTAACACCCACAGGACCCATAATATCCATCCCGTGGCTTCCAGCGTAATACAGTTCAGTTAGTCCCACCAACTCATGTACCTAAAAAGAAATTAAATCGATGTAAATCAGGCATAGCATCTTCAGAGTATCAATTGAGAAGTGAAAGTCGAAAGGTGGATTAAAGGCTTGAAATGTTCTGAACACCCCCTAAAGTGGAGTCCTCCAAATACCTTGTTGCGACTCCTCCCGCTAATAATGGTAGTTGGGAAGAACTCTGCAACGTTTTTCACAGCCAAACGCATCTGAAAATATATCGAACAATGTCAGAAAATAAATAACTATGGAATACAGAGAAACGAAGTGCTTCCATGCTTACAAAATAATATTCTTACCTCACTAGACATCAGTGCATCATCAGGGTTGTCTACAATTGGCGAAAGAGTCCCGTCATAATCCAAAAAAATGGCTATCTTCTTCTTATTAGCCTGCTTCGTGAAATGCTCAAATGAATTGAGGGCTGATGGATGCTTAACCTGTGCAATCCGGAGAAATTGCAATTAAACAAAATGAATTAGAGCAAATGGCATAGTATAGTGCTTAGCACATCATTTAAATCTAGAAATTATAGAATAGAATACCTTCCAAGAGCAATAGGCAATCTCGGCATCATCTAAAGCAACTTCAACACAATAACCTTTTATAAGCTTTTTACGAGGAGGAGACGAGGCTTTCATTTCATCTAGCCAACCATTAGAGAGAGCCTCATCGAGCTTTCCCGGCTTTCTCCTCAGTATCGGTATGCATTTGCTAGAGGACAAGGTGGAATGAATGCCTAGTCTCGTCTTGTTAATGGGTGCAGGGTCGGCAAGAACAGGAGATGAATGAGTAGACTTAAGTTCCATTGAATCAAGAATACAAGCACTATAAGACAACAGATCGTATTGATTGTGCTGCTAATTTCCAGAAATGGCGCTTTTAAGAGTGATTTATAAGCTATAACCAAATATGCTTTATCCGACCCTCTTGTCGATGAAAAACCACCTCTTCAGAGTTTTCTTATCACTGCTATTGGGGGTGCAGTCCATTAAGTGCTGAGTTCCTGAGATCTGGTCATGATATAAAACACAAACGTTCAGCAAGATAACTATAATTAACACAAACGAGACAGATCGCCTTTATGACAAAAATACCTTCTCATTTCCAAAGCGCTGCATTTATAGCGGATTATTCATCGGAATGTTTGAGAAAAGCAACAATCTTCCAGATCTTGTGCGCTCAATACCTCCCTGATGGTCACTGCAAACAAAATCCACTAATTTAGCATCTGAAGTTTGAGCCTGTTGGTATATTTTAGCCCTGAAAACTTGTTCAGCAGCAGGAGGTAAAGAACCCATTTTGCAAATGTAGACATGGAAAAAGGCAACCGAATATGCAAACGGCGATGACTTTGGTACTGGATATCTATACTCATATGTAACAATCAGTCCGAAATTTTTACATGACACTTTCATATGACAAATTGAAAAGACAAAAATGCAGAAAGAGAATACATGGCATGCAGTATTTGCACCATGTGGCATTAAGTGAAAAACAAACACAGACAAAATCTCCATGATTCTATCCCAAATTTACTTTATACAGGCTTCGCGCTCTCTAGAGAGTAATCGACGATACGTGTAATCATCAGCAAGACAATCCGAGATTTTATAATTCTCAAAGAACTTTTCCTTCGCGTCATCTCAAGGACTCAGTTTGTGACAATTGTTATTGAGAAGACTACAAGGGACAATTATGGTGCAGTCACCAATTCTTGCAGAGACAATGCACATGGAACATAGGCCAAACTTCTTAAATAACATGCAAAGAAAAAAGACATCCCACAAAAAAAAAAAAATAAAGGAATCATTTTCACATCGTCTCCTATGCAAGCATCATGTAGTACTACATAGTCCTGTGGGGGCCTAGATCGAAAAATAAAAAAGGCATGCAATACCCATGTATAGATCTCATATATCACTTTCACAGATGCATAATAGTATGACCCATCAGGAAATTGACACGGTTTATTTCGCTACCGCGAAAAGGACACTGCAACTACAAAAAACGACCATGAGATGCCACCAGGCACAACAATGGGGGAAAATAAACAAGAAAATGAACACAACATCAACCTTCATAGTTCACACCTGAAACATGTAATCTTGCCCACTTTCAGTTCAAACTATATAGGCTGAAACAACTCGAGATTGTAAACTACTACTTACAGAAGTTTCTGGGCCAATCAAGAAACAAAAAATAAGGTAAGCCAGAGTACATCAAAGCTTTCATTTAACAGTTCACATCGAAAGAAAGTGATTAAGACACGTTTCACGGTTCGGCATTCGAAAGAAAGTGATTGATACACGTTTCCAGGCATCAACATCATCCACCAGGATTACAGCAACCGACAAACAATTAACTTTATTATTAGCCTATGATTTATGAGCGAAATAAACAAATGGGGTCCTCAAAGTCACCATCTTCTCAGCAAGTACAGCTCTTTCAAAGCCGAAACAAGCAGACGAGCTGTTTAGTCCTCCAAAATATTCAAGAAAATCGTGTCGTCAAAAACTATACGGCGTTAAAAAACATGGGCCCGAGATCATATGGTCCTAGACGAACCGAGCAGGTAGAAAAAAATAAAAAAACCTTGAAATCGAAAGTCGAAGAAACTGTCGCCGGAACTCACAGGGAGTTGAGATAGAAAGACTCCCATGCATGTATCGTCACCACAAACCGTGATGGCCACCAAAAGATTCGATTTTGCCGTATCAAGAACGTTCATCAAACGAAATCCCAGCCACGAACTCCGTTCCGCACTGGAACGCGAGTGTAAAGAAATAATCTTTTTTCAGTCGATACGGTCGTCAAGAGACGTGCATGATGCAGCAACAAATCGCGAGCGGTCAAAACGCAGCCCTTACCTTTTTTTTTACCCCTCGAGCGACCCTGGGGAAAAAAATGCAGTTGCGGGAGGAAGGAGGTCGGTCGTGAATGGAATTGATGGGCGAAGGAGCTTCGAAGAAGAAGAAGACTGTCTCTGTCACCAAAATGCCAAAAAGGTCGAAGCTTTCGACCCTTTACAGAGACAGAGACAGAGACAGAGAGAAAGACACGGAGAGAGAGAGAGAGAGAGAGAGAGAGAGAGGACAGAGAGAAACGAAACACAGGCAGAAGAGAAGAGACGGCGAGGTGGTCTGGGACTCTGGGCATTTTATAGGAGTGGGATTTCGAAGACAAGTTCTCTCTTTTCTTGCCTTTCCATCCTCCATTTCTTTTGCCTTTTCTTTCCCTTCTTTTCTTTTCTCTTTTCTTGATTTCTCCTTCCCATCACAACACAGGACCCATATAATCCCGGAAAAATAATATGTGTGTGATTTTTATATGATATAGCGAAATTCATTTACCTTATTATAAGTGTAAACACATTAATCTGCAGTCATTATTTAGTATCAAAACAGAGTACGCGTACTCTCCCCTTTTGGGCAAAGATGCAGAGGATGGCTGAATTCGCTAATGTCAACCATGATGCAATCGCGTCGCTAATTCAAACGGGATTAAAGCTTTACGTAATCGACTACTGTAAGGGCTGAGCACGTTTCGGGGCGACAAGCCACCACCAAGGTCAGCAGCTAGGAATCACTGTGCTTCTTGTACTGTTTTTTGGAAAAGAAGCGTTGGACGGCGTGATTCGAGAAGCGTTGAATCGGCGGGGGTTTAGCTTGGTTACGAGGTCCCGATTCATGCGGAGACGGGCTGTCTATCGTTGATGCATACTGATGAGGAGATGGCGTCGGCTCTTTGTGCCGGGTCTCCAGCCGCGGGCGAGCTTCTGGACCGGCTCGGGATACTGCTCGACCGAGCCCCGTGCGAGCTTCTGGACCGGGTCGGGATACCGCTCGACCGCTGGAGAGGGTTATTTCTAAGTGGGAGTCGGCGAAGTGAAAGAGACATTAAATTTATATACTTTGGCCAAACATAAATGACGACTTTGAAGTGGCCAACGCGCCGTGACGTTATGTGAGAAGGAAGGTGTGAAGGTCCACGTGCGGCCATCGAGTTTGGTTCGAGACTCTGTTGCTTTTTCTTGATTTCACGGCTGTTGATCACACGAACCTTTGTGTGGGAGAAAATATTAGGTGGTTCGGCCCCTTCACGTCGCCATGGCTCCGGAGGTGGAGGTGAAGGCGACGTGCGGGATGAAAAAAAAAAAGAGAGTTGAGTCCTCATTCTTTGGAGGACGCAAAGAGAGGGAGTGAATTTTGAACAAAATGGTAGAGAGAGAATGTGTCTTCAATGAATAGAGATGGGATGCAAACTATTTTACGAAGAAAGAATGACAAGTGGCGTCACATGTCGTTCATTGATTAGTTGAACCTCATGGTGACTTGGAGGGGCTGGATCACCTAATATTTTCTCTTCACGTGGCCTCCCACGATCCTAATTGGCAACGATGTCTCTCGATATAGTGTTGGCACGACGTCACCGTTTCGTTTTCAGGACACGTGAACAATTTATTGTATTAACGTTTTAGGACTTTTATTACTATGCGATGCATGATTAATTTACCGACGAAGATGGTCGAAACATGCGTTCCGACACCTGTTAGGGTTTCCTTATATGTATATTATAATTTCTAACTTCGTTTCAATCAGTTTCGCTGTAACGCGTTAATAAGTTTGGCCGAGTTCTTGTAACCTTAAGTTATTGCTGAATTAAGTCTCTAAAGATACTCATTGACACCGTCCATAAGAAATTCCAATAATAATAATAAAAAATTTGGGGCTGCGAGTCCATGCGCACAAGAACTATAAAAAATCCCATGTCGAAACACATCATAAGGAATAATCAACCATCTCGTAAATCGAAAGCACAAAGCACTGCCAAGCGACTAACTAGATTATAAATGAAGACACCATCAACGTGAAAGATTGTGGTAAGACCTTACCTTGAGCATTCATCTAAGAAAATAACTGTCACTCGATTTACACGTACACATTTTTCTTAGTACTTAAGCAAAGTCATGCCAATGTGGCACCTGAAATGTACCTAAGCAACCTCTCTCCCTCCCTCTTCCCTCTTTTAAAGCTCTATCTTTTTTTCTCCCGATTTATTTTGGGAGTATATGTGTATGAATAAATTTCTACAGCTGATCGATCTTGAGTGAACGTGGAGACCAATTCGGTCATTCATCCAGTCGACGGTTATTGAGGAGGATATCCATAACATGGCTCCACAACATCTCCAAGATTATATCGCTTTCCTCTCCCGATTTAGATTTAGGTCAAGTTTTGGCGGTTTTACTCTCTCGAACTAGATCTATATATAGATATGGGAGCTTCTTACAGATATTTGATCTGTGTTCTTTCAACTTTTTAATGTTGGTATCTCTGTACGGCGATATTGATAAGAACGTTGAATTAGACTCACACCATAAGTTGTTGCATATGGAATGAAAGACATCACTGAATCTGGTTATCAACAGCCAAATGCTTAGGATGGCAAATATTTTCTTGAGAGATGGGAGTGTGCTTCCAGCTATAGACTATGTTTTGTTATTTGCTTTCTAGCTTTTGCTTCGTTCTACAATTATTTAGGATTTGTTAGGTTTGAAATCCTTCCATGTGCCTCTCCAGTATTATTATGATATATAAATAGCATCTTTCTTTCGACCGAAAAAAAAAAGGCCCAATTTAAAAATGCATCTCTGGATCGAAATCCTTCACAATCAATTAAGTAAACACGTCTCTTCATTCCGTACACAATTTTTTTTTCATATTTTTGGAAGGAAAATTTCACTTCCCCAAACTTAGGTACACAAATCTCTATTTTTGGACCATAGGGTACAGCGTAAGATCTGCCCTTCTCTTCTCTAATGCATCCCCTTAAGTTAAGGCAATTGGCTCCCACCAAACTAAAAAAAAAAGAGAAAAAAACTGGTTTGTTTTCCCAAAAGAGTTTCATTTTGCTTCCTTTTCACAAGCCATTCTCAAAAGTTTCGCTTCACACTAATATATATTAACACATTATAAGTTAGGTAAAGGTCGGCATTTCTGGCCAACCAAAATACATTCGGGTGACGGCACCCAACATGCCCAATTCCTCCTGTACACATTGCAAAAATGTTAGGTCCAATCGAATTGGCCCAAAGCTACAACTTCGATTTTCTTTGATGTGGACTTGTTAGATGGGGATCGCACGAAAAGTGCAAAATGCTATGATCCGGGTGGTGGGATTCGATTTTCGTGTGGTGGTGGTGCATGATGCAGGCACATTGGAAGCAACCATCATAAATGTCGAAGGTTATAAACTAAGCAAGAGTCCGAGATCTATCGATGTCGAGCTCGAACGTGAATGATTAAAAATATTTTCCAAAGTATAATCGATTGTCTCGTTTGAAGCGATTAATTAATAAATTTTTTTTTATTAACCGATGATAATTTATGTCTAAACTGGTGGTCGTTCATTCGTTTTTATAAGCGATACGAACGATTGTTTTTAAGGAAAATGTTTTCCAGATTATTCAAATTCTCCGAAACAAACGGGATCTGAATATACTCGTGGTCATATTTTCTATATTGTAGTACACTAACATAAGACCATTCGCAGTTTATTGTTCCAAATAGAGAAAACAAAAATATAATACTGAGATGATTGTTAAAAACCCATTGTCAAGTAGTTGTCCTACGAGGGTGAATGCACATACGTGAAATGGATAGCAGTGGCTCTCATACTGTGTTAGAAAAATCAACTCAAAAGCTTAAACTGTTAGCATATGTGATCCATTGTCAAGCGATGTGAGATAATATTTCAAGCAGATTATTGTTTATTAAAAGAGAATTTTTATGGAAGATGAATTTGGATAGTACAAAGATTATCTTCCCTCTTTATCAGAATTTCATGTATTGATTACTTTGTTTTATCATACTCTTTAATTAATGTGTTTATACTCTTATCATTTCTAACCTAAAGTTTTCATTCCACCGCTTATTGACTTATGTACACTCCCTTTTGATCAAAATAGCAAAAAACTATTAGATGGAATTTGCTACTCTTTAGACAAATGATGTATGAGTTTTACAACAATAAGATCATTGGACTTTCTTTATACATCTAATGCATGTTGGCTAACGTAGAGGAAAAAAGAAATTTCTGCGAACTATATTTGACAAAATTGGCCAAAAAGAAGCATCCGAATATGCTGGCCAATTCCCCATTAAATCAGTGTCGGGACCGATCAATATCGAGCAGTGATCGTGTCGAGAGTATCCGAACTTCAGACAATTGGAGAGCAGTTGGGATCGTTCCATGATTTCTCACTCGAGCACAAAGCGCACGAAAGGGATTCGAATAGAGCGCGAATTCTACGAATCTAAGTTCAAGATAAAATGAATTATACTGACATGGGAATTACATCAACACAGCGCTGCCTGATGCCTCGGCCTCTCTCATGTTCTTCAAGAGAAGTTGCACCCTGTCCTGTCCACTTTGCTTGGAACTCTCCACTGTCGGGGGCAACCGCTTTGATCCATGACAGTTTGCCACGATGCCCTCCGAGGTTGCTTCGACTGCACACCAAACTTCTTTGCAACTCACTTCTTGCATTGCATGCCAACCCCTCGTCGTTATCATGTGAACTCATATTTGGTTTTCATCTTTTCGTTTGTTCATGTCAACTGGTTTTTTGTATGAGGATGCCGGAGACCTGGGCCTGGACGCCAAGGACTCGGAAATCAATATTAGGATTTTCGTGGCCAAGCATGGAGTTTCAGGTCCAAGGACTAATATCTAGTCATGTTTTGTAAAATATTGTCTGATTTTTCAAAGAGGAAATCATTTTCCTGAATTTAAATATATATTTTCTATTGAC